CAGAGCCTGAGAATGTCAAGAAACTAATCACTGCTATCTTGGAAGGTTTCTTTACCTCAAGCTTCAAAGTATAGAAATTTTGATATTCAAATATTGATGCTTGTCCCTTATCTCTATATCATCTGAAGAAGTCTTTATATCGACATTCGGTAGACTCATCTGCTCACTTCGTCCTATATTTTTACTAATGCTAGTGGTACAGAAAGAAGATCTACATGATTTTTTGTGCTTTGTTTTCCTATTATATGCTGGACAACTACCAGACAAGCGCAGGGATATTCTATATTTCGATTGGAGAAGCTTAACAATACTGCTCTAAATAAGTGCATAAATCTAAACAAGTATTAAAAATGTTTCAAATAAAAGCAGCGCACTCTGTTGATTTGATACTTCTGTTTCTTTTTATGCTTATGGCAAATTCTTACGTTCCGTTGTCTCTTATACACACGATTACGTTTTTACTTTTTGTATGGTTCGAATAAAGCTCAAGGATACAGAATTATCAGAAGAGATTCTAGATTTGCTAAGAAGAAATAAGACTCTACAATTGAAGATTTGTGGCTAAAATACAAATAAAATGCGTTTCTCCTAATTAAGCAACTCTAAGTATGATGGTGAAACAAAAGCATTTTTGTATTCATCACAAAACAAATTTGTTTCCTTTTTTGCTCCAAAAATGCGGATGAAGTCCCTCATAATCTTTAACCCCAATACACGTTCTTTGCTACATGTGTTATCTTCTTCACCTCCTTTTTTAAAGTCGATCACTCTTGTCTTCTACGATCGCTTCATACAATGAATTCAAAGCAACACTGCTGCTTTCTTCTGCATTTCTATAGTAATAATATAGGGAATGGTGGATTGAAGGAATGTTTGAAAGTTTCCTTGTATTGATCTGACATAGTGCAACAATGGGAATACTATTCACACTTAGCTTACTGCAGATAGTTTATCTATGTTTCTCAATTTTGTAAAACATCAAGTTTTGCGATTATTGAACGTTTTCAACCATGATTCTTTAGTGTATACGGTGAGAGAGTATCATGTTGTCAAAACATAACATAACAAATGAACTGCTCAACGGCTGTGAGCTGAAGAAGTATTATTTATTTGTTAATACTCAATATACTCGAGACATACCTGAAAGTAAAGGACCTGAAAGAAGTCG